TTGAGAAAATAGTTTTGAACACAAACAGTATTGTTTTTCTGTTTTAATCTTCCACGTTCGCAGTTATGCATTTCCAAAAACGCATATATTTTATCAATCCACAGTTGGGATCGATTCGGGTCTCTTACTGGAAATCTATACAGACATGAAAAATATGTAAACAATAAAAAATGTCACTTCAACTTTAATAACAATTTTTATCCTACATTGTTAACACATTTGCAGGAACTGATATATTTAACAAAAATCCTTACCTATGAAATAAAATTCCCTTTTCACTCTCCTGTCCACATCCAGGCACACAGCACCTCAAGTCACAAATTTGCAGATTTTCCAATCACGGTTCCAAAATAATAAAATAAATAAAATAACCTCAACATTTGCGTCGTGCGCTATGATCAGTCTGGTCAGTCCTGTTTCATGACGTGCGACGCTAAATGCATGTGTACTAGTGAAAGCTTCTGATTCGCTCAAATACCACAGCAAGACAAAATGGCGCTGATCAATTGAAGCCACGAATTTTCCTTGATGCGCCTTCCAGTGTATATATAGTTCAGTGCATAAAACAGATAATATACGCACTAAGAGTTTCAGCAACAATAGCCCATGCTTTTGCTTGTGCCGATGGTCCTCGAAATTTGACATTATAAGTAATGTCCCATAGCTCCCGTCTTCTATGTACTTCGCTAATGAGCAATTCTTCAAAACAGTACTGTAAAGATAGAGATGTCTTTGAATACACTAAATGTTCTGCAGAGATTAATTAAACTCTCTAGAATTTATTAATGTCCGTTAAAGCAAACTCTTGAGACGCGACGCGAATACACGTGAGCGATTAAGAAATACTTGGACGAATAAAATGTGTATTATATCAGGATAGTTCTTGTAGCCGAATGAGGAACGAAGGGATGACGGGCACTAAAGATAATACTATTTTCACCAACACTGATAAGTCTTTATTGTAAAAGAAACACGTGTGTCTCGACACACGGACTATGGCACAATGCCCCGAGACGTGGTCACCAAGACTCGCATGTCCCGGCTGGTTGCATCATCCTTAACCAATAGGCAACGAGCACGCGGGCGCTTCGTGTAGTGCAGCGCCACTCAGCCAATCAGGCGCTTGGTAACCGCCACGCGCGCAATACATAATGTGTGTGAACAAGAAAAGTAAATGTGTGTAAGAGAGATAACCTATCTGTGGACGAGTTCTCTCTTACAGTACTCATTGTTTGAGTACTGTTTTGAAGAATTGCTCATTAGTGTCTCCAAGTCATTATCTATGAATGTGCAATCATGACAACCTTCATCTCGCATTTCCTTGCCATAGCTTCCACACAGCTGAAATAGAATTTGATAAAGCAAAAAAAATTTCAAGTACATGACCAATAATATGCGCATTATTCACATTACTTTATTCTTCATTTTGCAGAAAAATTAAAATATCAAAAATTAAGCAAATGACAGTTGTTTATCATTTGATAGCACGTAATTTAAAAAAAAATATAATTGAACATATTTTATATTTATTATTAAATTCTTGAATATCTACTGTTGCATGTGAACTATGTTACTTACCAAATATTCTCGTTCTTCTTCCATTATATTTTATACAAGTTTCACAAGTTCAGAAATCATCGAGACTCCAAGAAGAACATGACATTAGTAAGGTTAGTTGGGTCATCTATTTCTCTCATTAGTTTATGCTGCCTTGCTGCTGCTTGCTGCTCGCTCAAAATTCAACACTGTTGAATTTTTCGGAAGCGTCGCAGTGGCATAGAAAATATCTCTTCGTTGATTGGCTGCTGCTCGACGCTTGCTGCTTGCTGCGTGCAGTCTGAATTAAGCTGGAAGCACATAAAATTGCAGAAGCCATAGGCAGAATGCAGAAGGCATAGCGCATGCGCTATAGTATCTGCATTCTGTCCATGGCTTCTGAATAGCGCATGCGCTATGGCTTCTGCATTCTGCCCATGGCTTCTGAATTTCCAATCTACATAAAAATACATAATACATAATCACAAGCATAAGAACTTATTGTAACCGGTCGTAATAAAAGTTTTTAAGAAGAAAATAAGAACAAAAAACGAATTTATATTGATTAACACGTAAGTTTTTTCACTATTATATTACATTATCAATGTAATACAAATATAAACTGACAATGACAGTATATAATTATTCGTGTAAATTCTCAGTTTCATAAACAGTATTTTGAAATTAATTTTACTTTGTATGCACATTTCTGAAATTATATTTTACAGGTTTCACATTTCAACGTTTCACAGAAATGGATGATTTCGATTTCTTGTTAATTACTTTGGCCAATATGGGAGCACTTTTGGTGCAACGTCGTAGAGACAGGATCAACCGTGAACGTCGTCGCCGTCGACGTGTCTGGGTACGAGCAATTAACACAAGAAGAAGACAGCAAGGAGCTTTTTACAATCTTTTTCAGGAAATAAAAACAGATCAGGAAATGTTCTATAAGTATACACATATGACACTGCCAACATTCCAGCAATTGATGGACATTATTAATCCAAGCTTAATAAAACGAAGCCCACGAGCACTTGAACCAAAGCAACGAATTGCTTTGCCATTGCGGTATATATCGGATCATTTGTAGTTTAACAATACATAAGGGAAACGGCCCAATACTCAAACATATAAGACTTGGATATCAAAATTGATCGTACATAATTGATTAATTTGATTAAAAAACAAGTTTTTTTTGAATATATAAATTAACTATAATATTTACAATAATAAATGACAAACCAAAGATTATTTTTTATTAAAAATTATTTGTTATATAGATTAAAACACGATAATCTATTTGTCCCGGTACCCGAACGCTATGTCCCGAATGTTCCATTTGTATGTCCTAGTTCTCGAACAAACTTCAAGAAAGAATAATTTTAAGGAAGAGCTTTGGGAATTTATAATAATATATAATTTAAATCATACTAAATCTATAAATCTTACTTTTATTTATCAATACAAATATTTTATATACTAATAAAACATAACTGATAATTAATAATTTGAAATTTTAACTAAAAAATTAGAATAACTATTAAAACATTAAATATTTTAGATTTTTTTAACGATCTTTTCTTCTTTTATTTTTATTTTTAATAATTTTTCTGCCTCTTTTTTCATTTTTTCTTGCTCTTTAATAACTTTGAGTTTAGCTTTTTCTTCTTGTATTGCCTGTTTTTTTTAATTGTAATTCTTGCTTCTTTTTTTCATTTTCAGCTTTTTTATGAACTGCTAATTCTTTTTTAGATTTGATTGTAAGTTTTTTTTGTTTTTTTCCTCAGCTTTCTTTTTATGAATGTGAATCCACTCTTCTGTTGTTGCAACTGAAATGTTCTAACTCTTTGACTTCTGTTTTTCTTTTTGGTCCTAATTCTGGTGGCCATGATAATGATCTTTTAAACGGT